TGTCTACCTACCCTCAAGAGCACTGACTGATCTCACACTCCCAAGTCACTGACTTCCAATACACCAGCAACCTCATTCACCACACCATAGACTTACCAGCTGCACATAATCCCATCACTTCCGCAACCTCCAGCTCTCAGGCAGAATAGATTAGTGGAGGCATAGGACAGGAAGAAAGAGGGTAAAAAAAAAAACTAGTGAGAAATATGGAGAAGATTCTGCATGCAGACCTGTGCCAAGTCTTATCCTGTGGAATAAGAAGTGTGGCGAGGCTGGGCATGGCGGGGTGCCTCTTTAATTCCAGCACTCGAGGCAGGTGTTGAAAGAAATAGAGTCCGTTTTTTTTTTTCAGGGTTGTTGGTCCTGAGAGGTTACTCCTGCTCCAGTAGATTACCCTACGTCCATGTGAATCTAAGCAGCAGTAAGTGAAGTCGGTGTGTTTATAAAAGACCACACGAAAGTTGGGAGGGCAGATAGGGAGGAATTGGAGAGAAGGGACTGAGAGGTAGACCACAACATAGTATATGCACACATGACATTCTCAAAGAAGAAAGTGGAAGGGGAGAACCGGCTCCACAAAATTACCTTCTGACCTCCACATATGCCCACACAGACATCATAAACACACACAAACATGTACATACGCACACGCGCGCGCACACACACACACACACACACACACACAAATTTGGAAAGGGGTGGTAAGCTCCCAAAAGGATGGGAAAATTCAGGGCGGGAGTGGGTAGAGAGATCAGTGAGGAAAAATGAGGTAGCCAGCAGAAGGCCACAGCAAGGGTCACAAGAGCTGTCACTGGGTTTTTAGTTTCCCATGTTACAGCCATTGTCTCGCCTGTCTTTGTGCATGCCAGTTCTGCAAACCATGTCATTTAACCATCGTAATTATTAATCATCGCTGTTAATTTGACTGAGTTTAAAAACACCTGGGAGTCACTCTTCCGGGCATGTCTGTGATGTTTCCAGAAAGGCTTAGCTGAGGAAAGACGTGCCCTGAATGCAGGTGATACGATTCCAGAAGGACAGAGCAGCGCCAGTCATCTCCCTCCGGTTCCTGATTGGATGGGATGTGAGCTGCCTCCATGATGGACCGCATCCTCCAACTGTGAGCCTAAAGACCCTGCCCTGAGTCACTTTTGCCATGTATTTTGCCAATAGCATTTCACGTTGTGTGCCTACTTGCAGTAATTGCAGGAAATAAAGAGTTTCATCTTCTGAGGGACAGTTAAGTGGGGGAAGAACCATAATGTGGGTCCCTCTTGACTAGTTGCAAGCATGCCCCTGTTGCATGGGCAAGCTTCCTCATACAGTTGCCACGCCTACATTCCCTTTCAGTGCCTCTTTGCGTAGAGCTAAGTTCTGACTCTCTTCAAACGCCTGCCTTGAACCCTGCCTCCTCCCTTTAACCTTTGCTCAGTGAGCCTCAAATTTTAGTTTCACCCAATCCACCTTTGTGTTGAAGTAGAAAAAATGAAGAAGAGGTCAGAAGAGTTGATTAAAACACTACAGCCCCATATCCATGAGCAGAGATTTATGCAGCAAGTCACTTTGGGTGCCCCCCCCATACCAATAGTTTGAACAAACTTCCCAGGTGCTTTTGCTGCGAAAGGTTCTTGGCCACATTTTGAATTGCCCTCTTCTGATGCTTTCCAGTTCTACATCATTCTCAGCTGATGCTACCGTGTTTGTCCCATACTCCCAATGGGACCGTGGGTGTCAAAAGCAAAAGCCACAGACATCGAGCCTGACAGTTAAGATGTATCCAGTCCTTCCCTGCTCCTGTTCTTTACGTTTTATCCCCTCCTCAGTTACCACATAACCTTATAATGGGCAATGAAAGGCAATAAACAAACACTTGTTAGAGAACAAAGTCAGGTGAAGTTCTGCATGCCTGTAACCCCAGCACTCAGGAGGCCAGCCTGATCAAGTTTCAGGCCAGACAGGGTGATATCTGGTGATATCCAGAGTGATATCCTGTCTCAGAAAAACAAAACTAAAACAAAGTAAAACTAAGATCCTTTGCTTACTCTTTCTCTTGTGTTTTGAGTATCTCTCTCTTTTCACCTTTTCCTTCCTCCTCTCTCCTTCCCATTTCTCTGGAAAATGTGAGTAACATGCAGCACCAAGGTAAAGGGAGTTTGTATTAGTGAGGACTCGCTGTATGAGCGACTTCAAGTTCGAGTGAGAGATAAATACAGTTGGAATGCATATATAGAAAACTTTCCATGAAGGGGAATAATGAAGAATACATAGATCTTATTTTTATGTTAAAATATGCACCCATATACATATATGGAAATATGTGTATCTATACATATATACATTCCTCAGAAAAGTTAGGTATTAGTAGTGATCATTTTAAATTAGTGGTATTTATTTTCTTCTTTATACTTTTTTCTATATTGTTTCATTGTTATTTATATGATTTATTTTTAATAGAATATAACTCAGACACTACATCTAGTAAAGAATATGTATTAATTGTATTAACAGTGCTGAGAGGGGAGAGTTGATGAGAGATTAAATGGGGACATTTTTCATGTGTAATAATGATTTTCTAGTTTTCTGAATGGGAGTATTTTTTTATTTGTCTCAGATATCCACAGATAAGAAGAATAATCAGATAACACACTGTGAATTCATTGCCACAATTTTTTCCTAAATACTCAACTCCAAATTAGTTTGGATGAAAAAATAACTAACCAACAAGAATCTCTTTATAACCATATATAACTGTAATACATACAATTTATCTGCACTCAGTAATAAAACAATAATAAGTCAGACATAGTAATATACTCCTGTAATCCTATCACTTGGAAAGCACAAGCTAGAAGATTATACATCTAAGTACAGTTTGGGCTATGTGCTGAGTTTCAGGCCAGCTTGGCCAACAAGGTGAGACTATCCCAAAAACAAACAAACTGGGCATGCTTACTGTACTAACACATGCAAATCAGAGGCAGGAGGAGTAGACATTCAAGTTTATCCTTGACTATATAGCAAGTTTAAGGCTAACATGAGCCACAGGAGATACAATTTAAAAAACAAACAAAATAAATAAATAGTAAAAATTATTTATGTAATACTAACACAAAAGCTCTACATGTTTTCCCTTCGGGTCAGTATGAGTTGCCCAAGTGTTGTGGGACAATAGTCTTGTACTTTGTAAAGATTTGTCAGTTGTATTGTTTTAATAAAACACTAAATGGCCAGTAGCCAGGCAGGAAGTGTAGGCGGGGTGACCAGAACAGGAGAATTCTGGGAAGAGGAAAGAGTCAGTCTGCAGTTGTCAGAGAGGAAGCCAGACACAGAGGAAGCAAGGTGAGAATGCCTCACTGATAAAAGGTACCAAGCCACATGTCTAACACAGACAAGAATTATGGGCTAATATAAGTTATGAGTTAATAAGAAGCCTGAGCTAATAGACCAATTAGTTTAGAATTAATGTAGGCCTTGGCGTGTTTCTTTGGAACTGAACGGCTGAAGGACTGGTCTGGACAGAACACTCGGTCAACACCCAAGACCTTCTCTTTTCTTTACTAAATTTGAGATTTGATATATCAGAAATTTAAAAGCATATATAGTTTTTGAGCCCAAAAATTCCAGGAATCTACCATGCAGATTCTTATCAAATTCTATGACTAAGGTACTGCCTGCAGAATTGTTTGTAACAAGTAAAGCTAGACACAATATATATGGCTTTCAATAGTGAATACATTATGCAAACTGCAGTCCATGCAGTGCACGCTAGACAACACTGTACCAGTGAGCTATCTCAACCTATCCTGTCAACATTTTGAACTTTTACAGCCAGAAGACAGTGAAAGGCATAGCGGAATGCTGGGATGCTGCAGGTCCACAGAGAGAAGCCACAACACAATTTCAACTGCCATTTGCCTCCATCCTTTCCTTAAAAATGAAGTCAATAGACGGTCATTTGAAAGAACTGATGGGGCCTGAAGGGAGCTGGGAGACTAGCCTTGCTGAACCATGCCTTTATAACTAGAAACAAGAGGAAATCATTAACAAAAAGTTCTTTTCTAATTGTTGCCCAGGGCACCTATGAAGTTCCTTCTTGATTTTTCATATCACCTACTGTTTATATCACCAGTGTGAAACATTTGTATTTCACTGGAAGCCAATGATACTCAGATACCTGCATAGAGATGATTAAAAACTCCATATTCATGCACAAAATCAAATGAGCATGCAGTACAAATGCACGTAGAACACTGGGTAAAAACTGAAGCTGTATTTCAGTAGAGGGTGGGAGAGATCACAGGGCTACCAGACAAGGCAACTTAGAGGTAATGACGACTTGACCTTTTCATTAGTGACTAGGCCAAGTCTGGAAAGGAAATGAAGGAAAGCAGAGAATAGATTAAGGAGAGTGATGCAATTTCTTTCTTCAAACAGGAGCTTATTTTGAGTATTACACATCCCCTATTTATAGCTAATACAGTTTGACATAGCTGTGTTCAAGTCAGAGCTGTTTCATCCGTCCATCTGTGTCAAAAAGCAGTCTTCCTTTCAGGCTTTCGTCACAAGCTAGAATTAATAATACTCCAGCAGCTGTTGTGGGTTGATTGACTCTCAAGTACAATCACAGATCACAGTCACTTAAAACACATTTCATCTTAGAAACCTGGGTACGTGCCTTCTTGTAACTACACGGTTAGGCTATAACATTGGACTTCAGAATCGTGCCTACATATTAACCATATTCTCTTCCACCACGGTCCATAGTCCTTGCCCGGAAGCACTGCTCAGCTGTTTGGTTTACCAATACAGTAGCTGTGAAACCTCCAGGCACCTGTAAGACTTCTGCAAGTATATGAGTAGCATTGCAAAGCAAACGGCCGTGGAAGCTTACAAAGCAATTTATCCCATATTCCTTTTGCGTCACCCCAAACTTATCAGTGGTTTGACAAGTGAAACATCTCCAAGTTGAGTTAAAGCAATTTTCCCCTCCGAACACTCACCACAGTGTAGTAATTCTTGGTAAGTGGAGCAGCGTCAAATCCTTTGACAGCTTTAGGGGACAGAGGTCTCTCTGTGGAAAAGACATTGAGATAGTGTTAATACCACACAACGCCACGGTGGACATTTGATACCACAGGACAGACTGTAAAGATTCCAAGTGGAAAGATCAAGGAAATGTGCCTTTTTAAGTAAGTGGAAGCATCACTAAACTTCAGAAGGTCAAAGTTTAACCTTCTTGTTCAGACTTCTCAAGTCCCAAGGGAGGAACAGTCCAAAGAGTTAATGGCAGAGCCAGAACAAGAGTATCACTCTCAGTTTGGTTTTATCTATGGAAGTCAGAGTCTTCATTCAATTTATTCAAAACAGGGTAAGTGAAACCAAAGCAAACTGTGGTGTATTTGTAACCGGCAGATTATCATACAACCAGAAAAGAACATAATACCAACCATTCCTTTCTTGGAGGTGCCTACTGTGCCAACAATAAAATAGTCATAATCTTCAACTTGCTGAAAATATGTTTAAAATGCTTCTCTGCTTTCTTTATTGTTTTAATATTGCTATATTGTATTAGAAAATGCTTCCTTTCCTCTACAAAGTTAATCTTACCTATTAACTCACAACCATAGGCTATCCTAGGACAGTATGCTATTTAAAATAAAACACAAAAGCACTCATATTTCTATTTATGAGATAGAGTTTTGCCATGTATCCCAAGGAAGCCTTGAACTCCTGATTCTCCTGTTTCATTCACCCAAGTGCTGCAGATTACAGGTGTGCTAAATGCTGAGCAGTATCATTGCAGAGTATCTCCAGCATGCATTGTCTCCTTTTCTTCATTTTGCTTTGGGTTGATTATTTTCCTATATTATACACTGCTTCAAACCCTTTCTGAATCCTGGAGGACTGCACATGGCCAAGTAAGAGTATGTCATCACACATTAATATTCTTTTAAAATATTTTTTCAAGTTATGATTCTTTTACAGAACAACCTTAAAAATTAAAAATATAAAAACATAAATAAATTACAGTGATTTTCCATTATCCAAAGTTAAGCATCATTCTGAGTAATAATTATTTATTATGTATTTTCATTCTTTTATGAATGTGTATGTGTGAGTACACATACATCTTTTCCTATAGTCTTGTAATTCTATTACAATACAGTTTCATAAATATTTCCCATATAATATTGATTTTAATTTTTATTGTATTAAAAATATTCCTAATATTTATTTGGGACTAAGTAGCATTAAAGACATTTTATCTATCTTTACAGCACCCTGTTAATGGAGATCATCTTATTTTACAAAGGAGAGAGAACATGAAACCAGGAATGTAATGTCCTTCGCCTAAGGTCATGCAGAGAGGAAACTGGCAGAACCAAGATCAAAGCTGAGGCAGAACTTCCTAAGTAGGCGCTGCCCCCAATCAATAGGATTCCCAGAGCCAAAACTACTTAAAGGGCTTGGTCAATAGCACTGGGCAGAAGCTGACGCAGGACTTCAGTAAAGAGTACAAGTTAAGTTTTTTGTTCAATTATTATCTAAACTAATCTTGATAAAAATAAAATTTTTGAGTCTAGTGTGGTGGGTCAAACTTACAATCCTAGTCCTAAACAGAATGAGGCAGGAGGATTATCATAAATTTTAGAAGCGCTAAGGATACCTAGGAAGTGGAAGGTCAACTGAGCTACATAACAAGACTATCTCAAAAAAAATGAAGAAATGAAGATCACTTTTTAAGTATAAAAGCAAGGTCTACAGACACAACACATGGAACATATTCTATCTCCTTTGATCTCAGAAACTAAGCAAGGTTAGGTCTGGTTGGTCTGTGGATGGAAGACACCAGCAAGATGTTGTCACCAATCAGAAGCAAGACCAAGAAAAGTGCATTCCGCTGATGGAGTGCCTTCTAAGACATAGCCAAGGGCAGGAAGGGCTATGGAATGCATAGTGGAATTGAAACACAATGTTAACTATGCAAAGGAGAACGGAGGAGACTCAGACATGAAAGGAGTAGATGCTTTAGAGATTTCTTGATAACTGGGATGACTGAATGCCACGGAAAAAGAATTAGTTCTTTGAAAATGTAAGCAAAAGTAAGGATGGGAGAGACAACAATGCATGAAATTGTTAAAGAGAAAAGTTAGTAACAGTTTTACATATTTTTCAAAAAATTAATAAAATAATCAAAGCTCTAATGAGAAAGGAAGAGTGAGACAGAGAGAACAAACTACCAATATCAGGGGCCATAGATGACTCAGTAGGTAAAGGTCCTTGCTGACAAACTGAGTTTGAGCCCTGGACCCACACAGTGGCAGAGGGGAGTTGACTCCCGATTCCCAAAGTTGTCCTTTCACCTCTACTTTGTTTGCACACACATGGGGGGGGGAGATTTAATTAAATTTTTAAGAAATAACTTATCAGTAACGGGGATGAAACGGATGAAACAAAAGATTTTACTCCAGAATCTAGAAAATAGGGAATATTTTTATTTATTTATGAGACAGGGTCTCATATATAAGGAAGAGTAGTTTCCTAATCTGCCTTAGTACAAATCCAATTAACCATGCACCTAATCATCTTCTCGAATAATTTAATGACTCCTTAACAGGGTCAGTTGGAGAAAATAGGATTGGTTTAAAATCTTTGTTTTAAACCATGCTTGTTTCAATATTTTCTGTCATGGAAATTTTTGCATGGAAAAGGAGAAGGTATCTTTCCTTATTTCTATCTTTTGCTTTTTCCCTTCTTTCTTCCACAATGATTTGGGGGGGGGTGTTTTTGGTTTTGCTTTTATTTTTAGACATGGTTTCTCTGTGCAGCCCTAACTGCCCTGGAACTCACTCTGTAGACCTGACTAGCCCAGAACTCACAGAGATTCACCTGCCTCTGCCTGCCAAGTGTTGCGATTAAAGGCTCACAGCACCACTGCCTGACTCCATGCTTCTTTTGAAGATAGTTTTGCCAGCAGTCCAGTTGACTGAAAATTCATGATCATCCTCCATCTTCAGCATCCTGAGTGTTAGGATTATACGTGTAACTCACAATGACTGTCTTGGGAGAAGGTGAATGAAGAATCTGTACACAAACCTTAGCTTTTAGGACAAGTGAAATGGCTCAGAGAATAAAGATGTTTGTTGTTTGCCACCAAGCCTGAAAGATTTAGTTTGACAATTTTCTTTAATTTTGCCAAATACAATTATACTGGATATTGTTACTGATTCTTGCTTGATAACTGTTTTGTTTTATGTAATTTTATTATGTTAAAGTAAAAACCTTCCTTTTTGATTAGACAGAAACAGGGAAATGCTGTGGTATGGTCTTTCTGCATGCTGTGAATATGTATTGCTTTCATTTACTGATAAATCAAAGTGCTTTGGCCAATGGCAAGGAAGGATGGAGCCAGGCAGGAAATCCAAGAAGAGATATAGGAAGCGGAGAGTCCGGGAGATGCCAGCCAGCCAGCCACTAAAGAAGCAAGACAGATAAAAAAATGAGGTAACATGGCAAAGTATAGATTTAAAAATATGAGTAAATTTAAATGTAAGATCTAGCTAGTAATAAACCTGAGCCATTGCCCAAGCATTTATAAATAATATTAAGTCTCTGAGTGGTTATTCAGAAACTGGTGGGTGGGAGAGAAACCTCTGATTACACATACATCTTTTATTTATTTTCAGTTTATATGAAGGAGTGTTTTACCTGCATATGTGTACACCAACTACATACATGTCTGGTTCCTTCAAAGGCCAGTGGATGGTGTTGGAGCCCCTGGAACTAGAGTTTACAGACAGTTGTGAGCCTCCAAGCGGGTGCTGGAAATTGAACCCAGGTCCTCAGAAGTAGCAGTGACTAATTCTAGCCATGAGCCATCTCTCCAACCCCATTGTGGCTTCTGGATGTCACTGATGTTGAAGTTCTGTCCTCTCAGTGAGACGTTTTTATTGTCATGCTCACAAAGACCTACTACATCTTTAACCTGAAGGACGTGCTGAAAGCTTGCTGTTTCTCCTCTCTGTGTCTCTGTCTCTCTCTGTGTGTAAGAGAGAGACAGAGAGACTCAGTTTCTTGCCTATCTATTATATTTTGTGGGTTGTTCTTTGTGCTGCACTTCTCTCAAAGAGCAGGGGAAAGCACTGCCTCTGTGCCTCTGAGCACAGTAATATCTGCTCAAGACCTACAGTGGAATCTAGAACTTAATATGCCACTCCCCGAAGACAAATTTACCCTAGCACTAAGTGTTCTTGGGAATGACAGTCTCAAGAGATGGAAACTGCATAGCACTCCCCTGGCACAACCCTCTACAGGGGGGAGGGTTATATGTCCCTGGGATTGCATTGTCATTACATGCCATTACAAAAATACTCTGAGTATTAGGTTGAATGTCTCACCTCCCAGGCTAGATGTGTGAATTTGCCAGAATCACTGACTGTCCAAGTGACTATATGGCTATACCTTTGGCCCAATTGGAGGAAAGTTAGAGATTTCTCAAGTTCTTCAGTTCCATTCCTGATTCAACTTCATAGAAAGATAAAAGAGATTGTTCAGCACTGGGGTTTAAAATGTGTCTATGGAATACACATTTCATCTTTGAATCAATCTATAAGTCATTTTCACCCTCTCTGAAGACTAGTCTTGCTTTCTAAGCTTACATATCAGCAAAGAATTCATAGAAAGAAATTTATAAATAGGCAGCCATTCACAATCATTGAATATGAGGAATTCAACATGTTCTCTGGTGACATTCTAAGTAAATTTGGTAGAGCTAGCAAGAGTTTAGGTAGAAAAGAATTCAAATAAACAAAACTTTATTGCTTATTTAACTTTCCTAACAAAATACTTAATGCCTTCCTTCATTTACACCAAGCTAAACTTTGATACTGGTCCAAAGCTCACTCTGCTTGTCTGACCACAGAAGTTCACTGGTTTCCTCTGACCAATGACTAGGAGTTACTTTATCCTTTTCTCCCTTCTATGCCCATCTGCTGGCTCCCTGCTTTTCAGTACGTAGCTCAAACACGACGTCCTGCATTAAGTATTGCATAACCTCTTCACCCTTAATAC